AAAAAAAAGGCGATGGTTGTTTTATTATTTTTGGAATCCAGCCTGACAGATATGTGAAGAGCCAGGTAAAACATGCAGCAGAAATATTCTTGGAAGCTGGACCTCCGGTCATATCAATCTTGTCTTTTACTGGGGTTATTCATACCTCCAAGCAGACCCGTCATTAAAATTCATAGGAATTTCCAGGGCATTACAAATTGACAAAACGTATTCCTTTTTATTTTATTTCAGTTTTGGATAGAGTAGGGGTGCGTTTTAAAAGACACTGTCAGGTGTTTATTATTTAGGTAATGTAGGAAGGCCAGAGCAATGTTTTTGCAGTCCTTATCTAAGGACTACAGAATGATTGGCCTTAAGGTGATATTAAAGGAGAACTATGGGGTCAGTGTTTTTCCCCATAGTTCTCCTAAGGGTTCACGGGAGGACACAAACTAGCCTCCTCCCATGACCCAAAGCTCAGTATACTGCGAGTTACAGCTCGCGGTATACTGAGACTGCCGCAGCCGGGACGGATCCTGACATTACTGTCTGGATCCACCCAGCTGTTTGACAGCTGACTCTGCCTATCTAGAGGCAGAGCCAGCTGTACCCGCCCCCTCCCAGTCCGTTCCGCCAGTCTGCGCTTAAAGGGATAAATCACAGGGGATTGCAGACATTTCTTTATTTTATTATTTATGGTAAACTTCCAATGGATGTGTTTTGTAGAAGAGTTTAGTTGATTACAGTTTTTTTAAATTAGAAGCAACCTGTATTACATACTTCTGTTGTCTGTGTAAATGGATATGTTCCATGAGCAAGAAGCATAGTGGACAGCGTTCCTACTTGCTTTTCTTACATATGTAGAAATGACACATATGTCAGGCTTTCCCTCATTTTACCCTGGGGAATTTGGGCTTTGCTTCCCCCCCACCCCTCACTCTTCCTCTTTTGGGCTATAACCAAATGGCCATACTATACCGCAAGAAAATCTCCAGGTCTCTTTTAAATTAACCCTTGCATTGGGGTTAACCCCTCACTGCTAGGGGTTAAGTGTTTGTTTTGGTCTAGGGGCGATCATTCAGCAGTGACTGGTCATCTCTCTCTTCCTCCACTCTGGCTGTGGTATGTCCCTTGGCGTCCTCACGTCTTATGGACCTGCATTAAACGTGATGACGTTGCGGGTCTTTAGACCGCTGGAACCCAGGGGAGAATAGGCTGTGGGGGCTAGTCTAGCAGTCAGGCAGGACCGAGGATCAGGTGAGTATTTCTTCTTTATTTTCATCCCTAGACCAAAATAAGCACTTGACCCTTTCAATGTAATGTGGGGGTGTCTGACAGGTGTAACATTTTGTGTCATCTCTGATACAAGAATTCTGACAATTACAGTGTTAGCATAATTCATGGATGAATGATCTGTATATTATAAATTTTACATCACCGCACAGTTAAATTATGAAGTACATTATGTACAGTGGTCTGCACTTAAATAATCTGTACCACTCCTCCCTACATACTGTGCTGCACATTATATACCTCTGCATGGTGCTCCACATTATATCCTCCACGCCGCTTGACCTTGCTCCCTGTGTAGTACATTATTGTATATGATATGTTCACACCGCTCTGCTATATGCACACTGTGCTGTGCAGTACCTTATATATTTCACACAGTTTTACTGTACACACTGTGCTCTGCAGCGCATAATATACAGTGGTACCTCGGTTCCCAAACTTAATTGGTTCCACGATTCTGGTCGCAAACCGAACCAAATTTCCCCATAAGGTTCAATGTAAATAAGGGTAATCCATTCTGACCCCTACGAACGTGGTAGCGAACCGATTTTTGGTGGCGAGCAGAATCAAATTTTCCCATAGGGTTCAATATAAATGAGGTTAATCCGTTCTGAACCATATGTAAAAAGAAATTTTAACCACAAAAATATGAAACCAAGTACAGAACAGTATGAAGAGGGTGAACACTAACCTGGATCATGCTTTTCTACAATTTCCTTCTTCAATTCAATGGTTATTTTCTTCAAAACCTCCTTCCCATTCTTGCTCTGCACATTCTTGTCACCTTCATTACCGCTCTGCACTTTCTTTTTACCACCATGCTGGATTGAATAATACTGTACAGTACTGTATGTGCTAAAAAGCTTCACAGCAAGTGTGCACAGGTCTGTCTACAACCGCGATCTCGACTAGAGGAAGCCACGACCGCGTGTCAGAGCAGGGAAGATGGCCGCGGTCGCGTTCGTCACCCGATGCGGAGTTCGCAAACGGAGGCAAAATTTTGCCAAACTTCCTGTTCGTGAACCGAGTTGTTCGCGAATAGAAGCGTTCGTGAACCGAGGTACCACTGTACTTTACACAGTGCCACTCTGTACATTGTGCTATAGTTTATATACTTCAACTACTAGCTTTCACATTTTTAAAGTGACATTAAACCCTCAGATTTTTTAACATAAACCAATACTGTAATGTGTGCCTTACTGTAATCCATGGTAGTTTCCCTTCTCTTTGCTGCTCTTCCTTTTAAATCCTGTCATGCTTGGGGAGAACTTCCCTTTTCAGCTCAGGGCCTCTTCCTGTAGGGCTGGCTCAGGTTACAAGCCTATAGAAACGTATACACAGACACCGTGTATCCATTCCTGAGACAAGGCATTCTGCTGCAAAACAGAAGTTCTGCAGAGCATGAGAACAGATATAGATTTAAAAGGAAGAGCAGCAAAGAGAAGGGAAACAACCATACATTACAGTAAGGCGCACATTACAGTATTGTTTTATGTTAAAAAATCTGAGGGTTTAATGTCACTTTAAGTTTAAGGACTCAGGAATTGCACCCCGTTCAGTGGACAGGCTCACTCTTGCTAGTTAAAACTGAAGGTAAAGTGATTTCCCCCCCCATAACAGGGATATCACTGACACTTACAAGCACTGTATGCATGTAAACATTCCCATCTAAGCATGGGTAACGTGTTTTCCATTCATATTTACTGGGCATCTTGATGTGACCTATTTTTCTATGTTATCAGACATTTTAGGCCAAAGGAGGCTTGCTATATATGTTCTGTCATGTCTGTTTAGTAAACCTTTTAATGGCCTGTATCGGTGCCAAGATTAGGTTTAGGCCATATCTGGGCAGGATTGAGGTCAAGTTCTCTATTAATCTTTGTGAGTGTGGGCACTTCAGCATCTGGTGATTTAGGGTGACCCTGGGCTTAATGAATCATTAAGGTCAGTAATACAGCTTTGGTGTTTGTAGCAAACTTTTTTTTCTTTTTTCTCAGATTTATCATCCTCGGTACTGACTTTGCAATATTAGCATATGCTGGCAGCATCAGTAGAACAACTCGCTTCTCATCTATTCCTTTCCATCAGCACTTGAACGTGTTTGTTTCCAGAGCATTCTTCTGCCACTCATTTGATGGACATTGCAAGTTTTCTGTTGGGGAATGTAATTGCCTTTCAGTGTGCTGCTGTCAGTATGCTCCAGTGCCAAACAGTTTTGCAGTGAAGAAAACAATCATTGTATATAATGGTTACATAGTTACATAATGGTAATATACTGCAATTGAACTGGGGACTTATAATGGAATGCATAGACAATGTTTAGGCTTCCAGTTGTCCTGCAGAATGTTTGAAGCCCAAATAAACTTTAAAGGGGTTCTAAACCCTCCGTTTGTTTTGCCTATATCTACTTCTAGCAAGCAGTAGATATACAGTATACAGTATATATGAAATATCCACATGGGAAATACGACTTTCTGCAGTATGTGATCTAGGTTTTATCTATCATCTGCCCTTTGCATCATCAGCACTCCAGATTTTCTTTTCAATAGTGACCTCCTTTTGGCACCAAGAAGACAAATAAATAAAATAGAACCTACACAAAATCCATATAGAGACAAGTAGAAATGCAATTTTTAGGGATTTTTACAGCCGATATGAGTACCTAGAGGTTTTGAACTTGTTCAGTCATTAGGATTGTTTTTCACAGGATCTGTTCAGCCTTCTTAAGAAGGGTTCCATTTTTATGACTTTACATGGGCCTATTTGGTAGATTCAGTCTTGGCCTTTGGCATTAACTAAATGGGTTGGTCTGAAAATGATAATCTTTCTTTGCCGAATTTTTTAGCTTCAAGTATATCTAAAGCCATTTTTTTCACTTTGGATGGAGTAGGAGAGGGTTTAAACCACAGTCAGTCTTCTTGTTATGCCATCTATGTCTCATTAGGGAGATTTCCTTTTACTTTCTGTCCTGTGAGAGTCAACAGGAAATAGGAGGATATCTGTCCAATGTGAGAGAATACCCCTCTTAGACAGTTGTCACAGGAACACTTGTCCTCTTTGGAAAATTTCTACTTCTGTTTTGGTGGCTCCAATTTTGGGATTTACCCTAACTTTTAACTTCCTGTGAAATTGGTGAACAAGAATATTAAATCTCCCTAACAGGGACACAAACGACTATAAGTAACCTTACACAGGACATAACAGCTGAGAACATCAGAAAAAATATTACACTAAATGCTGGTATTGGTAACATAAAGAGGTCTTATTATATGGAAGGGAATTTGTCAACCAACTGCTTCACTAACAGGGTTATTGACAAAAGGGTGAAGAGTTTAGAGAAGGCAGGAGAAGGGAACAATCTAGGACAACATAGCTGATTTGGAAAAATTCTACAATTTAGTTTATTTTCCAGTTAAGCTATGTTGTCCTAGATTGTTCACTTCTCCTGCCTTCTCCAAACTCTTCACCCTCTTATGAATAACACTGTAAATATTGGCCATCTGTTGGCTATAGATGCCCCATAGTTTGAGATAACATGTTCCATACTATAAGGATGCCGTGGTAGGTTCCTGATCAATAATATGGAAGTATAAAGACATAGCAATACATTGTATCCACAGTTTATTTGTTATACGTGTATAAGTGTTGCCTTGTTGACATCAGGAGGGAGATAATTGCTAGTGGAACTTGGGTTTGCACTCCTTTTCATTTATATTTTGTTCTTTCAGGAACCATTTGAAGATGGTTTTGCAAATGGAGACGAAGGGACACCAACTGGAGATGCTGTGACCAACCATGTTGCAGAAAGTAAAGGAGTGGTGAAATTTGGTTGGATCAAAGGTGTACTGGTGAGTAATTGCTTATAATACAAGTTGGTGCTGCTGTTTCTCCAAAGTCTTATAAGTCAGTTTTAAATACAGGATAGCTATAGATCTTGTGATGAAAAGCTAGTTTTAACATTTGAAACAGTTTTCATGATGAAGACTTGGATGCATGATGGAAAGCAATTTGAACATACACTGTTTGTTTCTGTGGTTGTTTGCTTTTTTGACCTGTAGGTCATGCACAGATGGGATGCACGGATACTTTTCGATTACCAGTGCAGATACTTGGCATTTTCATGAGAACTACCAGGGTTGCAGCGGTTGCAGCTGGTACCTAGCTCTGGCCCTCCACCACTGTCCTGAAATCATTAGTCTGTATTATTTTAGAAAAACTGTCACATGACAATAAGCAAAAATGTATCAGTACTTGTAAGTACTCGGCAAGTACCAGTACTCGTACTCGCAAAACTGGTATCTGTGCATCCCTTTATTTATATTTCTAAAATCAAAATCGTACATTAAAACAGAGATGTACAAATCCCAGGAGCTCCGTGTGCTCCTTACAAATCACAGCTGCCTCCTAATTTTTGAATTTTTCTCTAGTCTAGTCTTGGAGCTCAAAAGTATCGGTACATGTACTCATACTTGTACCGAGTACTGTAGTTGGTATCTGTGCAACCCTACTGTATACCATAGCTGTCAGTGAAATTGGTGGCTTCAATGGGTCAAACAGTATGTACCAACTCTACCAGTCTATTTCAGTGCAAATCATTCACCACTCATTATACAATGTATAGAGTTTTTTTGGATGGGTTTATGAAGACCACATTGTCATAAGAAAAACTGTCGTATGTTTGACCACTTTTAAGTTTATCATTTAATTTAGAACATGGCTTGCTTTAAAATCTCAAACACCTGCAGAGCAAACTTTGTTGTAGTGCTGAACTCCTTGCCATGGTCATAAAATCAGGCTCAGACATCAGCCAGCAGTGTGTTTTTGCTTCACCTGAGCACAGAAGAAAAGCAAAGTGCCAGAATAGATTCCCTCTCATAGTTTGATAATGCTACTGTGAACATCTATTGAAAAAGGGGGTTTCAGTTGAGGTTTTTTTAACCCATTTGCCATTGATCTCACTGTGGATGTTTTGCAGAGACTGTTGTTTTTCAGATATTCTACAAAGAAAAGAATACTGGGTAGCCAAACTAGAGGTGATCGTGCAGTGTGCAGATGATACAATCATGTGAACAATGAAGTACAGCCCACTGAAATTGTTGACTTCAACAAATTTTAACAGGCAAATATTAAAATAAACTTACCTTGTTATCGCTGCGCGCTCCCGCACCGAGAATCAGGAACTGCTCGTACGGCTGCAAAGGATCTTGGGGCGGGCGCATGCGCAGTTCCGATTCTCGGCCGGGAGACGAGCAGAGACGCAAGGTAAGTCTATGGACGCGTGCACCCGCAATGCAGACACCGCTGGATCGGAGGGACAGAGCAGTCAGCGCTGGATTGGAGAGCCGCCGCACCGCTGGAGGGACAGATGAAAACATCAGGAAAGAAGAAGAAGAAGATCGGAATAAGAGACATCATTTAAGGTAAGTGCTGACATTAACATGAGGGGGGGGGAGGGAAAAAATTGACTTTAATGTCACTTAAGTGTAGATGGAGGAATCTGTTGCACCTTTTCCATCTGACCACAGAAAATCTGCAGATAATTGTAAGGTGTATGGCCAGCTTTACCTACGTCCCTTTTGTAGCTCCTTGCTCCTCGGCAGCTGGCTCTGAATTTGGCATCACTGCTTTGGACATGTGACAGCACTCGGGCCTAGTGATTGGCTGCTATGTAGTATTTCATATTTGCATGACTTTTTTTTTCTTTTTCTTTTTAGTCCTAAACATAAAAATAAATAATGGACAGCACGTACAATTCAATGTTATGCAGTCTTTCCCATTCCCCAAGCCATTATGGCATTTCATTTTAACAATAAATAAGAAAATATGAATATCACATGAGTTGTATGGTTCTCCCCTCTGCTTGTAATTTTCCGCCATCTCATTAGATATCCCATAGATATTAGATCACTTTATGTGATGTATTATTAATGAGTAATACATATGTTCTGGGAACTAGCCTGGTCTGGTGTTTTCAGCTCAGGATGAGTCACTGGGCTCTATTTTAGATTAAATTCAGGATTATTTTAGGTCGCAATGAGCCGTGTGCAGTCTGTGGTAGCCCTCTGCTACTATGCAACACATATTTTTCATTGCTGTGACCGCTGTGCGCTAAAACAAAAAGAAATAGAAATTGTGGTCGGCGTGAATTGCACAATTTTCCGTTCCATTTCTCTTTCTGCACTGCGTTTAGGCACCATTGTTCATAAACGTCAATAGATGATCACATTTATAATCTGCATTGTGTGTTTTATACATTGTATGTTGTGTATTATTCCTTATGCTGTATAACAGGTCAGTATATATGCATTATTTTGCATTATACGTACGATGCAAAAAAGTCAGTTAATTTTGAATGGGTTGTAATGCATCTAAAATGGTGCATGTCAAAAAATGTTTTAATGGAGTGTACAGATTGTTCACTGTGGTGCATTACAACCTCATGTGTGCTGCAGTTTGTTATGTAAGTATGATGGGGTGCTTTTCACAATAGATGACACCACCTGTAGTACATGTGTTGCTGTGTGTTTGTGGTAACTGGCAGTAAAAATTGCGTGTTTTACAGTGTATAACCCCAACACACCAGTGTGAAGCTGCCCTTAGGCTAAGACCGATTCTTTTGTCATTCAATTAGAATATTAAATCAGTTGTCATCAGGGAAATCTCTGACTTACCAGGACTTTATATGAACAATGTTCTGAAACGTAAAACCTATCATTAGACTGTAAAGCTGACTACACACTATGCGTATTTCATCCAGTTTTTGATAAACCGGCAGACATTTGCTTAGTGGGGGCTGCTGTTGGCACCCTTCTGTCCAGCATCCCTCGATCAGAAGATCGAAGGAGCCGGACCTTCAGCCAAACCAAGCTTACAGCCAGTTGGCTGCGAGCTTGATTTAGGATCCAGTGCAAAACAGCGGCTGATTCGTCCATCCATGCTCGTAAGCTTGTAGCCCTCGGAAACGCGCGTTCGTCGCACGTTTTTTTACCGCGAATCACGGTAAAAACGCGCATATTTAATACGCCTAGGTGTGAACCCAGCCTTAGAGTAAAACAAGCATCAGTTTATATATCATGCTGAACCCTCAGTGCTCACATCGTAAACTGGTAACATCAAACAACCATTGTTGGCCAACTGGTCTATGGTGGTTTGGCAGAAACCAATAACAATAATAAATGAAGACGCTCAAAGCAGCAGTTACAATACGTAGAATGACGACTTTGTAAAAAAAAAAAAGGCGATGGTTGTTTTATTATTTTTGGAATCCAGCCTGACAGATATGTGAAGAGCCAGGTAAAACATGCAGCAGAAATATTCTTGGAAGCTGGACCTCCGGTCATATCAATCTTGTCTTTTACTGGGGTTATTCATACCTCCAAGCAGACCCGTCATTAAAATTCATAGGAATTTCCAGGGCATTACAAATTGACAAAACGTATTCCTTTTTATTTTATTTCAGTTTTGGATAGAGTAGGGGTGCGTTTTAAAAGACACTGTCAGGTGTTTATTATTTAGGTAATGTAGGAAGGCCAGAGCAATGTTTTTGCAGTCCTTATCTAAGGACTACAGAATGATTGGCCTTAAGGTGATATTAAAGGAGAACTATGGGGTCAGTGTTTTTCCCCATAGTTCTCCTAAGGGTTCACGGGAGGACACAAACTAGCCTCCTCCCATGACCCAAAGCTCAGTATACTGCGAGTTACAGCTCGCGGTATACTGAGACTGCCGCAGCCGGGACGGATCCTGACATTACTGTCTGGATCCACCCAGCTGTTTGACAGCTGACTCTGCCTATCTAGAGGCAGAGCCAGCTGTACCCGCCCCCTCCCAGTCCGTTCCGCCAGTCTGCGCTTAAAGGGATAAATCACAGGGGATTGCAGACATTTCTTTATTTTATTATTTATGGTAAACTTCCAATGGATGTGTTTTGTAGAAGAGTTTAGTTGATTACAGTTTTTTTAAATTAGAAGCAACCTGTATTACATACTTCTGTTGTCTGTGTAAATGGATATGTTCCATGAGCAAGAAGCATAGTGGACAGCGTTCCTACTTGCTTTTCTTACATATGTAGAAATGACACATATGTCAGGCTTTCCCTCATTTTACCCTGGGGAATTTGGGCTTTGCTTCCCCCCCACCCCTCACTCTTCCTCTTTTGGGCTATAACCAAATGGCCATACTATACCGCAAGAAAATCTCCAGGTCTCTTTTAAATTAACCCTTGCATTGGGGTTAACCCCTCACTGCTAGGGGTTAAGTGTTTGTTTTGGTCTAGGGGCGATCATTCAGCAGTGACTGGTCATCTCTCTCTTCCTCCACTCTGGCTGTGGTATGTCCCTTGGCGTCCTCACGTCTTATGGACCTGCATTAAACGTGATGACGTTGCGGGTCTTTAGACCGCTGGAACCCAGGGGAGAATAGGCTGTGGGGGCTAGTCTAGCAGTCAGGCAGGACCGAGGATCAGGTGAGTATTTCTTCTTTATTTTCATCCCTAGACCAAAATAAGCACTTGACCCTTTCAATGTAATGTGGGGGTGTCTGACAGGTGTAACATTTTGTGGCATCTCTGATACAAGAATTCTGACAATTACAGTGTTAGCATAATTCATGGATGAATGATCTGTATATTATAAATTTTACATCACCGCACAGTTAAATTATGAAGTACATTATGTACAGTGGTCTGCACTTAAATAATCTGTACCACTCCTCCCTACATACTGTGCTGCACATTATATACCTCTGCATGGTGCTCCACATTATATCCTCCACGCCGCTTGACCTTGCTCCCTGTGTAGTACATTATTGTATATGATATGTTCACACCGCTCTGCTATATGCACACTGT